ATCTCAACGTCTTCCCTCGGGCAGCCGCAGCCAGGCAGCCAAGGGAGAGCCGGCTCTTCCCCAGGACCCAGACACGCTGCCGAGCCAAGGGTGACCTCTGGTGAAAATCAGGCCTGGGATGGTGTAAACTGACGGGGCAGTAAGCGAGCTGTGCCACTGACCACAACCGGGGCACCAAACCATGTTTTAAGAACTGAGCAACATCCAGCGGGTAGAAAATACGGGAGCCCAAACCACTCCGCACTGCAGCAGTGACCTTCAGTTGCTGCTCAGCAGCGGGCAGAGAGCTGCCCCGTCCCCACGGGACAGGCAGACGTCCCCGCAGAGCTCCGCTACTCCATTTGCCCTCCTCGCGCGTTCGGCGGGTTGACAGCGGTTCCCCCCGACGCACCGGGCCAACTGCTCCAAGCCCCACGATTAGACACCGTCTTCACAAGAGAGGTGCCGACAGCGAGGACGGCGACAGGCGGCTCTGGGGGAACCTGACGGCGTTTAATAGGAACGGTGAAGGTCTGAAATCCCTCGGACACGCTGAGGGATTTTACATAGCTGAGGCTGCAACAGTACTGGGCTCCAGAGAGAACAAGACTACTTACCAAAGTACTGATGCATCAAACTACTGACGCGTCTGTCTCATTTCCTCACTGGTTAAATAGTTAAAACGTATTTGATGTGTCTGTCACAGAGCGTGAAGTAAGGTTTTACCGGGTCGTGACAGGCTGGGTGCTGTGTGAGAGCCGAACTCATACCTGAAAGTATCTTCAGATCTTAGGAGGAATGTTCAAAGGGAATACAAAATGCTTCTGTTCTCATTCATTTTTATGGAAAACATTTATTTGCTAAGTATTAAATATGCAGAAAGCAAAACGTTCACACCTTTGCAGCCTGCAGTCCCCTCAGAGCAAAACAGCGTTGAAACAAACCCTGTTGTGAAAGGTATTCGAGCCCAGGTACGATAAACGCTCATAAAAAAGCAACGCTCCACCACAACAAACAGGCTCTGCGCGCTGGAAGATGGATCCAGGCGGCAAAGGAAATTAAACCACACCGGGAGCAGGCAGAAAGGGCTGAGACCCATCAGCAGCGGCAAATAATTGCTCAGAAAAGACGGGAAGAAGCAGATAAAGGTGAGGGGTGACTGCCTTTGATGAGTATTCCCCGATACTCCCCAGTGTTCGGTGCTGGGCGGGAGCGGGCGCTCGGGGATGCTGAGAGGAGGCGGCGCAGCGATGGAGGCACTCACCGCACCGCGCTAGAGCCCCGAGGGTCGCTGAGCTCGTCAGCACTGGAAAGTGGGAGCAGCCCTCGAAAGTGCGCTGTATTTTAAACATAAACACAATATCCCCCAGACTGACCCCATCTTTTAAGCTTTAGGAATCTGGGGCCAACCCCAACCTAATGAGCAACTCCTCCGCCTGACGAAGAGGGCGCTGAGGGAACCTGAAGCCAAGCGGAATGCGGGTCCCCTGGCCGCGCAGAGGTGTGCCGCAGCCCAGCACCACCCGGCCACATCTCTCCTCTGCCCACAGAGTGCCAGCGCTGGCATCGCCCCTGGGGACACCGTCCATGCCGAGGCGGGCTCGGCTGCAGCTCAGCTGCGACCACACGTCTGACAGCGCAGGACCCGACCGCCCTGCGTTCCCTCCACGAGTTACCCTATTTCTGACCCACAGCAAAACCGTGCCTGTTGACACAACGGAACACGTAAGCTGTCACACCCCGTTAAACGGGGGATCATCAGGTTTTTGGGGTCTGAGGCCAGGCATTGGGAAACCCGTGCTGTAACGCCAAGGGGATGTGATGGACGCTGCCAGGGTGGCTTTCTCCTACAGCCATTGCCGAGCACAGCCTGGAGAAGAGATGGCTCCAGGAAGACCTCAGAGCCCCTTCCAGTGCCTAAAGGGGCTCCAGGAGAGCTGGGGGGGGACTTGATCTGGGAGGGGAGTGATGGGATGAGGGGGGACGGTTTTAGACTGAAAGAGGGGAGATTGAGATGAGATCTGAGGAAGAACTTTGCTGTGCGGGTGGTGATCCCCTGGGGCAGGTTGCCCCGAGAAGCTGTGGCTGCCCCATCCCTGGAGGTGTTCAAGGCCAGGTTGGACGGGGCTTGGAGCAACCTGGGCTGGGGGGAGGTGGCCCTGCCCAGGGCAGGGGGCGGCACTGGATGGGCTTTAGGGTCCCTCCCAACCCAAACCACCCTGTGATTCTGTGTGCACAATCCTGTTTTCAGGGCACAGAACTGCAGTTAACTGGTCATGGTGGGAGAGCAGGTCCTCATCTGGCGTTGCCATGGGGGTCTTGGCCCCGCTCCACCCGCGTGGCAGTCCCCTGGGTGATGGCTTGCCGGCTGCCCAAGCAGGGCGGGGTGTGGGGGGAGCTTCCCACTGATGGTCCGAGCGCGGAGCTCGCCTCTCGTCCCCCGCAGCTGCCGGGGATGCCGTGCACCGCTGCTCCCACGGCCGTCCCTGCCCGTCCCCAGCTGCGGGGTGCTCGGGGTGCGCCCAGACACGGCTGGGAAGAGCAGGGCAGCTGTGGGGCTGCGTCCTCTCGACTCAGTGGTTTCTGCATGCAACCCTGGAGCGGTCATACAGGACTTCATGCTAAAATTGCCTTGTGGGAGAGACTCACAGCGCTATAACAAAGTTTTACCCCAAGTGGTGAACAGAAATTCATGCCAATTCCTTGTTTTGTGTGTCGCTTGCTGATTTATCAACGCAGAGCTATACCAGTCCTTAACTGCCCATGTTTTCAACTATAATAGGATTAGAAGCTAAATCAAAGCAGGATAAATGGTGGATTATGACCACTTGATAGTTCCTGCAAAAATCCTCATTATTGCATGTGTGGTTTCACTGCTTTAAAAGACTGCATTGGGATAGGCAGGCTGCGCTCCCTGCCAGCGGGAATCAGCCCGTTGCAGTTTTACTGCTGCTTTTAGCCCAGACTAAACCGAATACAGCTCTGTGTGTGACTTGATCTGAGATGAGGGTTGTCTCTTCAGATCGGCAGAAAGCACAAGATGGCTTCTGTGGTTGGAGCTGTTTGTGGCACCAGCTGAGTTTTCGTATTTCACTTTGAGTTTATCAGTACTGATGTTCTGATGCAGAATCACTTTTTGTGCCTTTCTGCATCGTTTCAGTAATGCCTGTGATACTGTACAGCTGGAGAAGGTGCCTCAGAAATCCCAACTCCCAACAAGGAGTTCTGCTGCTGCGGAAACGCTGGTCTTGTTTTGGGTCATTGGGATTACACAAGCAATCTTTCTTCTCTTTTCGGTAGCTTTTTTGCCGTGCTGGTTCTCCTGGCAGTTGTTTTGGTGGGGCTGCACTGGGGTTGAAGCCGGCTCACCTCACGCTTGCCTGTGCCATGCCAGAGTGGTTTGGTTACAGCTCAGATAGTGAGGACTTCCTACTCCTTCTTTAATCTGTGTGGCAGCAAAGCATCTTCACTTCTGGGATTTCAGTTGTCCTGTAGTAGTTTCCATGTAGTAAGAGTAGTTTGCTGGCAGTGGTTAGGTTGGTGCTACGTGCCATGGGAAGTGTTTCTCACGAGGTCCCTCTGTTTCTCCCACGGAGGTGTCCCCGTGACCCACAGCCCTCCTGCGCCCGGGCATATCTCTGCAGGTCACAGTGCTTGTGAACCGCTTCAGCCAGAGTTTACCCACTGCTAACTGCCTGTGCCGTGCCGTGCCGTGCCCCACAGCCGTGCCCGTCCTCTGCCAGGCGACGGGAATGAGTGCACTGGGGACATATGACTGTGAAACTCCTCACAGAGGAGAAAGCCATAATTGTCTAACTTCACCTCCTCTGTCAGGAACTCCAACCCTCTCTTACATCCCAGAAATAGATGTGCCTCCGTTTTGGACTGCAGCCCTTCTGTTTCACTGCTCTCTCCGTACAGCCCCACGCATGTGGCTCAGGCTGATGCTTTGCACGGCTCCTGCTTCCAGCAGCCTCTCCCTCTTGCCTCTCCTCGCAGAACAACATCTGTTGACCTCCAAATTTTGGGTGCTTCTTCAGTGCCTGTCCTTGCCCCCCCTCCCGGGGCCGCTGGCTCGCAGCAGAGCCGGCAGGTCGGAGCGGAGCCCTGCGGGGGTTTGCGCTGCGTCGGGGCTCCCCTCGGGCACTGGGAGGAGAGTTGCGAAGAGTTGCTTTTGCTCAGCTGTGATTAAGTGTTCACAGCAGCAAATCCCTGTGCTGTTGCTATACTTAACATGCCAAACTCAATTATATTGAGAAGAGAGTTTAAAAACAGGCTTTTGTCTAATGTACAGTATTTTGGCAGCAATTAGCTCCGAGTTTTATCATTTTCCCCAAGGTGAACATGAGAACGATCAGTTATGCATGAGAAGCTGCTCTGTCGTGAGAGAGGAAGGCATCTTCCCAGCGAGGATGAAAGGGTTTGCACGTACTGCGGGGCACGCGTTGCAGTGCCACCTCACTTGAACGTCCCTCTGTATTTGATAACTTAAGGAAATGGTTTCTTTGTGTAGGAAGCGCTTGCAGGGCAGGTCACAAGGCGAGAAGGAAAGCACTGGGGACGAGCAGTAGCACAGGCCATTTCTTTCCTGGGGGCCTCTGCAGGGCGCAGGTTTTGCCATCGGTGGGGCCCCTGTGGTCACGCTGGCCCTGGGGCTGAGCAGGTAGCCAGGGACAACCCTGCTTTTGGGTGATTTTTTTTTTATCTGTCCTGTCTGAGAAGATCCCATGCCCTTGCCAGGGAAATGAAGGGTATTAAACCCCGGTGCGGTGGTGGGGGTCCAGCGCAGGGTCACTGTACTGTCCTGCTGTTTGTTCCCTGGTACCTCTTCTCCTTCAGTCCCCTTTCCTTCTTGCCTTTGCATACGGTATTGCAGAGTGTTGTTAAATATACCCTGGTACAACAGGGCTGGTGTTTCTCTGGGACATGCAGTGCTTTTTTGGGTGTTTAATGTACACATGACCCTCCAGAACAAGGGTGGGGGTGTTTGTGTGACCAGACCCTTCCTCGGTGTTTCTCAGTGCTGTGATCTGGGGTTCCACGCCAGCCTCGCTCGGACCTTCAGGACGTACCTGTCTGCCGAGTACAACCTGGAAACCTCCCGCCACGAGGGCCTGGACATCATCGAGAATGCTGTGGACAACCTGGATGCACGGAGTGACAAGCACACCATCATGGACATGTGCAACCAGGTCTTCTGCCCTCCGCTGAAGTTCGAGTTCCAGCCTCACATGGGGGACGAGGTAGCGTACTCGCCCGAGGGGCTGCAGAGGTGCCTCCCAGCCTGGCCTGGGCTGGATTCCTCCTCTTCTTAACCGTCACTGTTAAATTATTTCTGACTCCTTATCCCTCTATTCTGTCTTCACACGCTGCTATTTGTGTTCCCTTTCTTAATGAGACACTTGGCTCATTAGGGCTCCTCCTTTCAGTCTGCCTCTTGCTCTGTATCTCTCCCAATTAGGAAGCCTGTGGTTTGATTCTCAGCTGAACTGCCCAACAGATTTGTAAAGTGGAGCTTTGATTTACCTGCTGTAATTGGAAGACTTCAGAGTGCAGCTTTCAAATACTGGGTAGAAAACGCTTTGTGCTGGCCCGGGTCCAGGGCTCTGCTGATGAGAAACTGGGCGACACAGCCTCCCTGGAGGCTGCAAGGGGCTTGTGGGTGCTGGAGGGAATCATTTTGGTGTTTAAATGAGTATGTCTGGTCCATGGCTGACCCACTGAACGCTCTCCTGTCTCAGGTGTGTCAGGTCAGCGCCCAGCAGCCTGTGCAGACGGAGTTGCTGATGCGGTACCACCAGCTGCAGTCGCGACTAGCCACCCTCAAGATAGAGAATGAAGAGGTAAGAAGTCACTCCGGGTCTCGTGTTTGGCCTCGGAGGCAGCATGGCTCAGCCTTCTGCCCATTCCACGGGGGGGTTCCTGGTGTGCTCAGGTGTGGAGTCCTTCCAGCGGCAGTGCTAAGAGTTCCCATTGCCCGCAGGTAGCACAAGAGCAAGCCCAGTCCTTTGGAGCTGCCTGTCGGCCGGTTGTTTTGGCTCAAGATGTGTCATTTCCCAGCCTGCTCCAAAACCATCCTGTCTTCTATTTCTGATAGGTACGAAAAACTCTGGATGCCACAATGCAGACTTTGCAGGACATGCTGACAGTGGAAGATTTTGATGTTTCAGACGCCTTCCAGCATAGTCGCTCCACTGAGTCGGTCAAATCGGCTGCATCAGAGACCTACATGAGTAAAATAAACATCGCCAAGAGGAGAGCCAACCAGCAGGAAACTGAAATGTTCTATTTTACAGTGAGTGTCATCTCATGCGATACAGGACACAGCTTTAATTGCTAGGGCTGAGTCCTGTTTTAAGTGCTCATTAGTGAAGAGCAAGAACCAATTCAGTCTCTTTAAGTATTTGTCTTCTGTCTGATTTAGGGTTGGAATGCCTTTCTCAGTGGCAGGGCAGTGCGCAGGGACTGACAGTCCAGTGTCTGCCTTGTTCTTCCTTTTGAAGGAACAACTGGAGCAACCAGTTGTGACCAAAACCTTGCAGAAATCGGTAGGAGCAGCTCAGAGTGGGGCAGCAGACCCCGGCCAGCCTCGCAGTGTGTCACCATTCAGTGCCTGTTCCCGGAGCCCTTTAGGATTTTGAGCCATCACCGAAGCCTGCCTTTTCTGGCCCGCACAACTCAGACCTGCCCTTGGCCCATGGCTGAGCTAAACGGTCGTTGGCACGTCGTGCCGGGTGCCGGGGGAGGCGGCAGCCTGGCGTTGCAGTGCCGGGCTGTTGTGTGCGTGCTGGGTAAGGCAGCTGCGCTGTGTCTCCCCGCAGCCGTGGTCCCGTAGTTCACTTCCAGGCAGCTCCGAGGTTCTCTGTTGTAGTACATGAAATGTAAGGAATAAGCCATCAGTTCGGCAGAAGTAGCCCTCATTTAAGCATGGTTAGTAGGCTAAAGTTAATAGCATCTTGTGATATATTACATATGCACAGAAAAGCTTCTACTTTCTCAAAACAGTATTATTATTCCAATTCGGGGGGGGAAATTGCAGTTCTCGTTATGAGATGTGCTTGGGGTTTTTTTAATGTTTTTTGCAAGAATTTGATCTCTCCCATTGTCTGTCTTTCATTTCCCATCTCTGTCTCCTTCACTCCTCTTATTTGTAAAATGACTTGCTCTTGAATGTTGCCGGGTGTCAGACAGTCTCACAATGAAACAAGAAGTTGTGCTGCGCAGTTAGTGTCGCCCAGCGCATAAAGCGTCTGATGGTCCCTGCCCTGGGAAGGTCTCATGCACTGGGAGTTCTCCTCTGCATCACTTGTTTGCACAAAGGCAAAGCGCCTGTCGGGGGAGGAAAAGCCTCTTTGATTTTCCAGGCCATTCCCAGAAGCCTGACAAAAAGAAAGCTTGCTTTGAACTCTTTTCTTTGGAGCTCCCTGCATTCCCAGGCAGGAGGTGCGGCACCAAGGAGACCGGGCTAATAAGATCATCAGGACGTGGCTGGAGCAGTGAGAAGTGATTAGACTGTGCTCAGCCCTGCGGCACATCTGACGTGTGGTTTGTCAGAGCCGTCAGCCTCGCCGAGTCCCCCTCCAGCAGCCCCCGGGCAAAAGCGTACATCACTTACGGACTATTTTTGCCAAGAATCTTAACCCACCTTGTTTGGTTTATTTTTAATTCCAGAAATTTAAAGAGTATTTGAATGGCAGTAACCTTATCACGAAGCTCCAGGCTAAGCATGACCTGCTGAAGCAGACTCTTGGAGAAGGTGAGTCGCGGGGTTAGGTCCAGGCAGGAACCTCCCATCACGTGAGACAACTTCAAACCAGGCGTCATCCTTCAGTCTTACCTACTGTCTGTGTTTTCCTGAGTGACTGATGACTTCTGTGGTTGGCTGCCACGACTAAGTTTAACCAGTGACATGCAAAATCATTATTTCCCTGGAATGTTACTCTTTTCCCACTTTTCTTCAGGAGTGCACATAGAGAAATCTTATCCTGTGCACCAAAGTGCTGTGTTACTTCTCCAGCAGCAGAGATTCCCCCCTACTCCAAACCTCAGCCTTTTCCTTTCTTTCCCCATTCTCCCCATTCTCCTAGTGTGGCCCTGAACACGGGTATTTTCTTGTCCTTGACGCTGTGCTGCTGTGTCACAGATTGCCAGCTGCCTTGTTGGTTGAATAGGCCCCTTGCTCCCCTGGCCATAGGTTTTTTGACTTGCTCTAAACCAGAAATGCAAAATCATCCTTGTGTTTAAAACTAACTTTTCCATAGCAGGCTTTTATCACTCCAGATGATAATTTCACAAGTTTGGTGTAGAGCACGTACACACAAACAGGCTTCACGCAGCAGAGGGGGACGTAACTTTGGAGGGAGACAGGAGTGCGCGGCGCCAGGTGGGACCCACCACTGCCGGGGTAGTGATGTGCAACCGTGTCCCTGCGAGAAGATTTTAGCTCTTTTAAAGAATTTTTAAAAGTTGTATTATTTCCAGTGTAAAGAAGATGGAGATGAGTAAGTGTCCCAATTTTCCAACAGGAGAGAATATATTTAAATTAGAATACACAAATGGTCTGTAGTCGTGTCTTAACTGTACAAAAATTGGACACCTTATCTCAGAGGAGAGAGAAGAAAAATAAAATAGCTTTTTGTTGGCTATTTTGCCAAACATCTTTTCTCTGCCAAATTTATTTAGCCTTAAAATCCACCTTCTAGTTAGATCCTGTGGTATGTTCCACTCACTGAACACTGAGCCAAGTCAAGGCACAAAATGTAAGCTCAAGGCAGGCTGCAAGGGTAGATACATGGGGCTCCGGGAACATCCGCCTTTTCCCAGGAGTTTCAGTACTCCCTGTGGCTGCCTGAGCCCCCCGTCACCCCGCGGAGCAGGTCAGTGGGAGCCCTTCTGCGCCCTGACCGAGGCCGTCCTGCTCCAGAGCCGCCTGGCAGGGCTGTGCGAGGCTCGCGGGGCGCCCGCTGCTGCCTCTCAGTTCAGGCTTCGGCATAGGCAAGGGGGACGGGGCGCGCGTTTCACCGAAATTGGACCCATCTGAGCCCTTCCCGGAGAGCACAGGTCTTAATGCAGAAGAGAGCTCTGTTCGTTGGCTACATTGCCAAGACTCCCATGGGTTGGTGCACGAAGTGATGAATCTGTTGAAGGTTAATTTGATCACCATTCTGGTCTTACACTACTGCCCTGCTTAGGATGAAGAGTGCAGGGTGAGGCATTTTAACTCTCTAGAGTTGTGCAAAAGCAGCCACCGAAGATTTTCACATGAAAACTTTCTGAATTTCTCCCAGGCCATGGGATCATCCTGCTATGTAGGCGTTCAGCAAATATTTAGCCCAGAAATGCCAAACGCTGCGTTTCAGCATGAGCTGATTCTCATTAGGAAGAAGTCTGGGTTTGCAAAACACTCATGTGGAATTCTTTCTTTTTCAGCGAAGAATTGGCTGCAGGCTTGCTTTCCGCAGGTGCCAAGGGAGAGCAGGAAGGAGGCATGTGCAGCCAAATGCTTCCTTTTATGTGTCTTAGAAAAAGGAAGAATAAATCGGCTTTCCTGGCCTTGGGAGAGAGGCACAAACAGCATGTGAAATTAGTTTAGTTTTTTTCAGTGGATTGACAAATACTCTAAAAAATGAACAGATCTTATCAGTGGTGATACGCTGCCGTTTATATGAAATCCAAGCACTAAAAATACACGAAGGGAGTGAGAATATTGACAGCCAGAATAGCGTCTGCCTGATCGTGATTAGATGGGCTGTTATCTCAGAGGAGAAGCGGGGGAACTGAACGCTGGGCTGCATTCAGGTGCTATTAGTGGTCCTCCGTGAGGCAGTTGGGTAATCTCAGCCGCCTCCCCGGGGGCCTCGGCCCTTATCGGGCTGCCCCTTCCCTGCTCGGGTTTGCCCAGTCCCCAGCGAGTGTAAATGAGCACTTACTGCAGAGGACCTGCAGAGCATCTGGCTATTTACAAGACGGGCTTCCTATTGCAAAGAGACCTTTGATATGAGTGGGAACCGGAGACGCTTTCCCTCTCTTGTGGCTGAGTCTTGGATTTCTAATATGTCTTTTAGTGGTGGGGACTTGTATAGCAACAAGCCGGGCATCTCCCCAGCCTGCGGGGCCCTCGGGCACGGTCAGCTGCTTTTGATCGAAGCCCTTACCTGGGGGCTTGCAGACCCAGGGGCGTGTGAGTGCCGGTGCAAGTGTGTTTTAACAGTCCTTTGGTGGTGACTAACATGGAGAGATGATGGAAACTTGTGTTTATTCATAGGTGAAAGAGCCGAATGTGGAACAACCAGGTGAGCAGTTTCTTCCGCTTCATCTGCTTTCGGGAGGGGCTCGCTCCGGCCGGAGGAGGGTGGCAGTGGGACGGGTGGTTTGGCTTTGCTGCCGGGACAGCCTGGTGGGGTTTGGGTTTAACCACCCTCCAGCTGCGGAAGGCAGGCCACCCCAGGCTCCCCGCATCACCGCCCTGCTTCTCGCTTGCATTGCCTGACGTGGATTAATTAGGGTGATGACAAACAGGCCCTGGTTTCTGCTGCAGTGTAATTTCTAGCTGACTGGCTCTGAAGTGCCAGCAAGTGCTGTGTCAGCACGGTGCAGTGCGGTGCCATGTTGTGTAGCTGAGGTCAGGTTGCAACACGAGGGTGTCTGCCCGCTCCCTACCATCCCTCTTCATCTGAGGACTTTGATATGTCCCCAGAAGCCTGTCCCAGCGCTGGCGGCTTTGCCCGGGAGTGCAGAGCATGGCTGTGTTCACAGACTTTCATCCCTCTGCAGCCAGCGATAGTGCTGGGGGTGGGTGTAACAGGGAGGGGGCTTTGATCGGTGTCCAGTCCATGAAGCATCTCCACAGAGCTCTGGTGGCTCGCTATGAGTGTGCTGGTTTTCTAACAGCGAGATGTGGGCCAGCAAAGCCTCCAAACATCTCCCCAGAACATGTACAACCTCTCTCTGTGACATCTTTTTACAACCCTGTTGGAGTGTTTAATAAAATTTGCAATACGGCCCATTCCGTGTTAGAAATGCCGAAGCAGATGGTGGAGCCTGGGCTGCCATGGCCGAGGGCAGCGGGGTGGCAGGGCGCCTCGCTCTCCCACCTCCTGGTCGGCGGGGGACCGTGCTGCCGGGCCCAGTGGCCTCAGGGCTGGGCAACCAGGTGCCATCGGGACACAGAGGGACCTTCCCCGCCTGGCGCAGGCCGGGCAGCGGGGCCGCACGCTGTGTCGCTGCACCGACGTGCTCCACGGAGCTGCTCTCCATGGCGCTCCCAGGCACACGTGGGGTCAGCCGTGGCGGCCCCGCTCCCCCACTGCAGGCGCTGCCTCCCCCTGCGCGTCGCAGGAGAGCTGCCCCGCGGCACCCCGACGCCCTCGCAGCCCCGCGCGGCTGGCGGTGGCCACGGGCACCGCCTTGAGGTGGGCTCCCGTCCGTTGGCTGTGCCAGGCCGGGCTCTGCTGAGCTGGACAGGGGAAGCGCACCCAGACCGCCACATAAAACCAGGGGGAGAGTTTGCGCTTGAGTACATTGTGTGTCAGGAGTGGGTGCCCGTGGAGTGGCGGTGTCGCAGGCCAAAGCGATCAAGGGAATGAATAACAGCCTCCTACGCGAGGGATGGTGGCGCAGCTCCCTGCTGCTTCTGTTGCTTTTGTTTCAGCAGTTGCTTTTACTTCACAAAGGAAAACAAACAAGAGACAATCTCCTTCTTGTGTGAGGCGGCACAGAAAGCGTAGGCAGAACGACCTTCCCACCAGCTGCGGCCGGAGGCCAGGCTGCGCCGGGAGAGGAGGTGGCATGGCAGCCAGCGGCACCGGGGCGCTGGGCTGCAGACAGCGCTGCTCAGCCAAGGGCCGGTCGGGCTCTTGGAGGGACCGCAGTCAGTTCTGCTCCTCAGTGACCACACGAAGGAGCGGTTAGAAGCTGTAGGAGTGTAGAGCCAAGTGGCTTAATTAAAGAGATCTGATTAAGGAACAAGCGGACTACAACTGTCACCTTTGCATCATAGCTCTCTGTACATTGCACATGTCCATTCCACTCTGCTCTGTGAGAACTTCCGCATGAAGGCTCCTAGCACTCATTTTTGTTTGCAGTCATGATCTCTCCTCTACCGACATTGGTATAGCCTGGGGGTAGAGGACAGATTAGAAATCACTTAGAGATTTTAAGCTATTTTTCTCCTTTTTTTAGATCTAGGCACTCGGGTCTTAATGTCCTTCATTATCAGAAGAGATCAAAATGTGAATAGCGTTAATGAAAGCAGCCCTCCAAAGTCCTGATCACTGCAGTAAAATAAGTCACGCGTTTCGGTGGCCTCATTTCCAGCAGCAGTAGGTGTCTGGTACCCTTGCTGAAGGCAACAGGGTCTTCAGCGTCTGCTCCCATGAGGGGTGAGGACCCTCCGTCCCGAGCTAGTAGGGGTAGGGCCATGCCACTTCCTAATGCACATGCCTACCTTTTCTGGTCTTAGAGAGTTGCTGGTGGGTTTGCTCGTGTGTGTTGACCAGGCTAATCTTTTTGTTTGGTGGTCTGAACCTCGGGAATGCCTGCCAGAAAGATGAAAGACCACGGACCTCCTTGTGAACGTCTCCCAAACAGAAGTAAGCTACAGGGAGGTGGAGGTATTGCTGCTTTCCTCTTTCTGGCCGTCTATCAGCAGAATGAGGTCCATTTAAGAATAAACAGGGATATTTTCCAGGCGTAGCTGTGGTTTATTTTGGATATATCCAGGAATCAGTTGAGGTCTTCAGCTGTTCTTGGTGCTTTTTCAGGCTGGCAGAGTGCTGGACTGGTGGAGGTAGGAGGCCGGTGTTAAAAATCCTGCTAAGCACCAACACCTTTGTTTTACTTCTAAAATGTCATCCCTGGTACGAGCACAAACTCTGATCGGCGGTTTAGATATTTGGTGCCTCAGAGAGGGAGAATTGTATCTGCAGATTGTGGGTACCAAAGACAGCTGTGCCCAGCTGTGTTAGCAGCTTCATTACTCTCTGGCTTGAATGAAGCAAGTTCTGCATGAAGAGCATTCCCCATCACCCCTTGTTCATTCACGCTGCGGTTGTAGGTATAGTTGCTGCACTGTCACTGTCTGAGTTCTGGAGGTGACTGGTTTTTATGTTAGGAACTGGGACTCTTCAGGAGGCGCGTAGAACAGCCAGTTGGGTTGCTGTATGACTGCAGCTGAGGTTGGAGTCTGTCTCACAGGGAAACACTGGCAGATTACGGGGATGGAAAGCAATGGGTAGGTTGGCTTATTGCTGTTAAATGTTTCTATTATCAAGATTAATTTGAATTTGTTACTTAAATAGAGGCTGCAGTCTTGACCTTGACTTGAAATTGTATGCAGCATATAGTGAGCAGCTGTGCTGCTGCTCTGGGCTGCCTAGAGGTCAGCTCTGCTGCCCACTCGTGTGGATGCCTGCCACCTGTGCCCGGTGGGGACCCGCTCCGCCTGGCCTCGGGGACCCGCAGAGGCCATCGCGGCACTGGCTCCAAAAGGAGTTAGCCAATTTACTGCTAGGGTAGCCCGCCCCAGGCTGCTGGGAGGTGCTGTGGAGTGAGCAGAGGGCACGTCCCGCGGAGCTGTGGGCGCTGTGCGCAATGCGGAGGTGTGGGGACAAGCTCTCTGCAGGTCCCCCGGCTCCCGCCGGAGCCATGTCCGTGGGGGGACGTGGTGGGGGGACGCTGACGCGCAAGTGGCTGCAGAGTGCGTGGAGCTGAGTGTCGAGTCCTCACAGAGGGATTTTTCTGTTTGATTTATTTTTTATTCTTGGTCATAACGTTTGAGATCTCATCCTGTCATTGCATTTATGTGGGTGTTTTGTTGATTTCTTTTGTTCCATTTTCTCCCAGGCCCCCATGTCTTCCCCCTAAGCCACAGAAAATGAGGAGACCTAGGCCTCTCTCAGTCTATAATCATAAACTCTTTAACGGCAATATGGAAACATTCATTAAGGTACTTGCTGGCTGACAGTAAGAGTTTATGAACGCTGTGAATGTAATGGTGGCTTTCCTGTCCTAACCGCTGGCTGCTTTCCTTCCTCGGTGGGGTCTCTCTGGTCCGCCCTGCACCCGATTGACATGGCCAGTGCACACTTTGCCTCGGTGACGATTTCTCTCCATAGCTGTCCTCACCCCTTGTGTGTTCCTTGCGTTACCCATTGCGTGCCCTGGGGCAAGGGTAGCAGTGAGGACCCTCGTGGCTGCTGGCCGTTGGCTGTGGTGGCCGTCTGTGTGGCACGAGGCGCTCTTGGCTGGATGATGGCATCCCCATCATCCAGCGCTGCTCCCCATCCTGGGAGGGAAGTTCAGACAGCAAGGACAACCCAGCCCAGCACCCTCAAAGCATCAACACATCCCCCCACCTTCCATTTTCCCCCCCATTTTTGGTGGTCATCTTCCTCATGGCTGAGGGGGAAGGAGAAATGACTCATAAGCTCCCAGAAAGTGTCTCCCAGTTGTAGGGACTGGCAGCCTTGAATTGAAATACTGTGTGTATGGGTGGCTGCGTGGGAGCGTAGACGTGTTATCCTTAAACAAAATGCATTAATAATAACCAGCCCAGCTGGCTCGTCTCAGTGCCAACTGCCGATGGCGGCTGATGCCCTCTCGTACACCTCGGCACGTACTGGCGCTCTGCAGGCCCTTCCCGCAGCTGAAGCGGAGGGTTAACCTGCAGGGAGGACAGGCGAGAGCTCTGTCCCTGCAGAGCCCCGAGCCTCTCCCGTGGGAGGCCGTCACCTCTGGATGCTCCAGGCGAGGTGGCACTACAGCTTGTGTGCTGACCGCGACCTACGCCGGTGCCCATCTGCTCTCGGGCAGCGCCAGGGCCGTGGGCTCGGCTTCCAGCGTCGGAGCAAAGTGATTCCTAAACGGCTGCAGAGTGGTCTCCTCCAAACCACCGCTGGTAACACGTAGCGTGTGGCCTTCATAAATGTGAGCCAGAGTATTTTCTTCATGGAAGCTGGGGTGAGCTCAGATGAACTCAGTTAGTACCAGCACAGTCCCAGTGGAAGGGACTCCTGCTCGTCCTAGGAACTTACCCAGAAGGAGAGATTTGAGGAGAAAAATGAAGAGATGTGGATGTGGGATTTATCCCCAATTTGTCCTCCAGCTATCTGGCTGCTGATCCTCCGAAATCCAGCACTTTGCCATTGCCTGGCTGCTGGAAGGACTTCCAAAGGACACAATGCTGTTCCAGTTGCTCAGTGTTTAATTCTACGCTGAAGAAAGCTTTAGTGAAAATACTGGAGGAAGCAGTAATGACAAACTGTTGGATTAGGTAAACTAATAGGCATTGTCCGGCTCCAATTTATTCTCTTAGGCTCTTTTAGTGCAACCATAAGCCTAAGGGCAGTGTTTACAAACAGGGCACTGTCACAAGTAATACACAGGCCCAGCTGACAAAGCCAGTAATCTCTTTAATACTTGTAATTATTCCTTACTTAAACTGATTTTTTAAAAAGCAATGCTCGCTAAAGTCCAGCCTGTTCAGCACTGTGTAGGAGGAATTAGCTGCAGTGGAGATCCATCTGAGCAGACGGGTGTCATTGTAGGACCATAGAATGGTTTGGGTTGGAAGGGACCTTAAAGCTCATCCAGTTCCAACCCCCTGTCCTGGGCAGGGACACCTCCCGCTGGAGGTGGGCTCCTCGGGGCACAGTGCTGTGCTGCCGGGGTTGTCCTTGCGGCCGGGGGCTGCACGCTGCCGTGGGAGATGTGTGGGGCTGAGGGCGGCTGCCCGGTGCCCCCGTGCCGGGACGGCTCTTGCCGAGCCAAGGCTGTGCCCAGGCAGGGGCTGGTGTTGGCCCCGCACTCCTGCGGTGCCGCCGGTTCAGGGAGGGGAGAAATCCGAGAGGCTCTTTCTGCCGGTCGCCGAGGCTCGGGTGCAGCGTGCCGGACGGGGTTTGGGAGGGAGGGTGGACAGCCTGGAGGCCTGGGTTGGACCTTGCTAAGCTGCCATTGCATTTGAGCGTTCATGGCCTCCGAAAGAGATGCTTACCTCTAACTGAACTTATCCTTGCTTAATCTTTTCTTTTTTTCCCGCTCTGCTGCTTTTTTGTGTTCTCAGAGGAAGGAGGAATGCGCGAACAAGAAACCAGGTATTTACTGGAGGCCCGTCTACGAGACGGAGTAAATTAACCAGAGAGATGCAACTGTACTCTACTGGAAAAAGCAACCAAAGCCCCTGAGGAAAATAAATGCCCACTTAGGCAGTCAGACACGGCTCACATTCCCCCTTGAGCTCCTCACACGAGGGGCCTGGAGAGAAGCAGCTTTGAAACAAAGACCAAAACTCATCGCAGGTTCAGATATAGGCAGTTCCTTTCATACACTGTGGTGTTCTGGGGTTTTTTCTAGCATCTGCTGACCATGGTTCTTTCTTTAGGTGGAAATATTGTTGTAAGCTCTGTTACTGGAAACTTATTTCACCAGACAGGTAGAGCACAAGTTTTATTTCAGCTCAGCATTACACCTTTGAAATGGAATAGCCGTGATCCTGTTGCATCAGTCTCCTGTCTCAGCCAGATAGCGAGCAGCAGTCTTTCACACGCTTTAGTGAAAGCTTTTTTTGTGCGTAATCGACTGCACATAGTATACTCAGCACTTTTTGATGGCTTGATGTGTGTAACGCCTCCTTTTCTTGCCTGTCCTCTTACTAAACTCAATGGCACTGATTTTCAAATATCTGTTTTTGCAACCTTTAATGAATTTCCCATGCTTTGTTATCAATACACCAGTAATTTTTTACTTTTTCTTTTCACGAAGGATTCAGGACAGGCTATTCCGCTTGTAGTAGAAAGCTGCATTCGCTACATCAATTTGTATGGTAAGTTGATTCAGTAATATCAACAGAAACTTTCTGCAAAGGAAATTAAGTACTTGCATTTAGCAGTGAAATATAGCAGAGATGCACGCAGCCCTTGCTACGGGGGCTCAGGCTGTAGTTACAGTGGCACTGACCGTGTTGTAGCACTGGATGACTGGCAAATATTTAGGTCTTGTTAGCACATATTCAGGTGAAATTATCTGTTCAGGCTCTGGGCCACTGGGAGCCGTTTCAGTGCTTTGGTTTGGGGGGCCTTGGTTGGAGAACATGAGCAGAAACAAATTGTAGCAGCTGTCCCCTTCTTGCTCTGAGCCTTTTCCCGTGCATCGGCTCCTAATTTCTGCTGTTCTTCACCAGAAAGTACCGCGTAACAGTTACAGAAATCTTTTCTGAAGCGTTGTTCTTTTCCAGGCCTTCAGCAGCAGGGCATTTTCAGAGTCCCTGGCTCCCAGGTGGAAGTCAACGACATCAAGAACTCGTTTGAGAGAGGTGTGTTGCCGGGGGGTGCATCTGCAGCTGGGATGCCGTGTCCGAGCAGGGACCCTCGGTGGGAGCTGGCGTGTGCTGGGTGCATTAGGCACTGCGCAAAGCCTGTGCTCAAGGCCTTTCTGCTGCCAGGCACCAGGAGGTTTTCTCCCCTTCTGAGTATCTTAGTATTGTATCTCCAGCAATGGCGAAGAGTCATGTAGGGGGGGTAGGTGCGGAGATCTCTTCCACAGTCATTAATTAAGAGCATGAAAGGCTCAGATGGGGGTAATGGCCTCCATGGCGTGAATCTTTGAGCAGCATCGGAAGCATCAGGGTGAAGGTGGCCAGGCCAAGGAATAAGGCAGCGTTGGGATTGTCAAAGGCAGGAGGATTTGCACATTTTTGCTTAAGAGGAATCGGTATCTAAATCCCTTAGGTTTTGAAAGCCTTTTATAGATTGAAGTCAGTACAGTGTTATCCAGATCCATTCAGTCTATTCCAGAGGCACAATTGCATGCTCCAGCCAAGCCTGTCTTCCCAGGCTTTCACCCAGCGTCGTTCAGCTCTGCTCAGCTCTCTGAGCTGCTGCTGTAAATGCAAAAATGCGCTAGGCTGGAGGCTGAAGGAGTACTGGTTAATAACATCTTCAGGAAAGGTTTGAAATCTCCAAAATGAACGGGGTTTTTGTGGGTACGGCTATAGCATGTCTCAGCGTGATGCTGTGTAACAGAGTACCTTATTAAACTCTCCTCTTGCTGGCAAAATGCATAGTGTTACCATTCCGCACACAGGAGGGTTTTCTGAGCTGTGGGAAATTTTGGGTTTCCACTGAGTTAGGAAAAAACACTTGCTGTATTAATACAACTTGACAGTAATGCTGGAAATAAAACCTTTTCTCTGGGCAGGTGAAGATCCCCTTGCTGATGATCAGAATGAACGTGACATTAATTCAGTGGCTGGAGTCTTGAAGCTGTACTTCCGAGGACTGGAAAATCCCCTCTTTCCTAAGGAAAGGTTTCAAGATTTGATATCTACTATAAGTAAGTACATGTGACAGCTCTTCTGGGAGAATAGGGTGGGACAAGAGGAGCAATAAACGGGGGGCAAGTACACCTGAGTTTTGCAAATAGCAGCTTATGCTGGAAGAAGGGCTGCAACAGAAGTTGCTAGGAGAAGACATGAAGAGCATGCATTGGCAGTGCTGGAGGCGAGGGAGAGGTAAAACGTCTTGCTGGGATTCTTTTAAATTCTTCCTAGCATCACGAGGATCCCCAGAGCCATCTCCAAGCTTAGGCCGGTGGGCAGCACACCCAGCAAGCCCATACACACCTTTGCGGGTTGCACGAGGGGTCATTAGTCAGTGGAACAGGGCCGGCCGCTGTCCTGCCCCGACAGATCTCTGTGGGTACCGGCGGTTCCTGAGCCTGCCCGTCACGTGCCATGCAGCCGTGGCGCTGGGGACGCTAAGGGGTTTTGCTGCTTTAGCTCAGAGTCTTCTACTAAACATGAAGTGGAGGTCAGTAGCTCTTGGCTACTCCAAAAGCTTCTCCAACCCTCGAGTCTGCAGATTTGGTTGCAGCCTCACTTGCTCAGCTGTTCTGCAAGTGTTTGCTGTGCGCATATCCTGTCCCAGAGAAAACCAGAAAGCGCTTTGGGATGTGAGCAGAGGTAGAAGCTGAGGGTTTTTAATGGCGAAGGGTCTGGGACTGATGTCGGGGAGAGCCTGGTTGCTTCTTGTTCTGTCCTGAACTCTCCTCCCGGCTCCACTTGTTCCTCTGCAACTGAAGAAACAGATATCCCAGCTGGGGTTTATTTCTCTCAGTACCTTGTAGTGATGACTTTTATTTATTGGCAAGTTATGGAAATTACTCCCCTGGGGGAAAGGAAGAAGACAGAATGAATTTGATGTTTCAGAGATGATGGAGGAGCGTGTTGTGCACTTTGGCTACAGGATGACATCATTTTACCGGAGAGGTGTCGGGGTCGTTTGGGGGTTCGAGTGTCTCAGTGCATGGGTAGTTTCAGGAGGGCTGAGGGGTGAACACGTGCCGAGGTCCTTCGTTTGGCTTTCACTGCTCATGGCTCCTTCCCCCCTCTTTAATGTTAATGTGCATAACTGCTGGAGATTTAGTGATGTCAAGAAAGACAGATGATATCTAGAGGGGAATGACGCAGGGATGGGCTTGTTCCAGAAAGAGAAGAATGTGCTCTTATTTTTCAAGAACAGTTGTTTTATATAGTAGCTTTAGGAAATGCGCTGTTGCCTTTCAGTTTTGATGTGTAAAACAGTGCAGCACACCTGTAACACAGGGAACAAAGGAAGTTGTTTCTGCACCAGTCTCCTGCCCCGGTCAGGAGCTTCAGCCTGGCTTGAGCGCGCTCCAGCTGCCCTCCCCGGGGGCAGAGCGCGGAGCCTGAGAGGGGACAGCCCGCAGGAAGGGGACAGGCCCCCGTTGGTGCCAGGAAACGTGCCCGGTGCTTGGTGATGTGACTGTGTGCTTGCAGATAGGCTCGTGCTTTGGAACCATCCCTAGTTAATGCCAATTTGCACAATGTATTAAGCTTTTGGGAGCTCTTTGTTGCAAATATCATTGGTTAATTTTCTGGATGGTTTTCTCTTCTTTCTTTAGTTTTCTTTAATTTAGCAAGAATCTTCCTTTTCCTCATCTTTGCTTTCTTTTCCTGCTGCTGTTGGTACCTTTTGATTAAGGAAAGATAGATTGATTCTATATAGATTTTAAATGAATTGAAGTGCCTTGTTCCCATTAAAAATCTGACCTTAAATGCATCTGACCTTCTGCCACATAAGTAGAGGCTGCGTAATAGGTGTCCCAACCTAAACAGATTGAAGGAACCTGCTTCCTTGGAGAGCCCCTGCTCAGTAAAATGCCACCCTTGCTGGAGGATGTTCCATCTCATTTTGTAATTATGGCAGAAAGGTTAAACACAGCCAAGCGGTTTGGGCTCTCCACTGCAGTGCATCATCACAAAGCCACCTTGATCTGCGGTGGCTCCCGGTAAGGCACTCTGAGCGAGCTCTTTGCAGCAGGTGCTGCTGCGCATGTCGCAGGGCCTCCGGTGCCCCAGGAAGCTGCAGAGCTGCATCATTCCCGGCCGATGCGATGGGAAGCCAGGCTCGCTGGTGGCAGATGAAAGGCTGGGTTTCCTTTTGCCTTATGGGGACTGAGAGTTTACGTGGAAGCGTTTTCTGAATCCACATGAGAAGTAGATGGATAGAAAAGGCACTTTGTTTGCAAAGTTTCATTTGGGGGTGTGCCTGTATAGTCAAGTGATTGATGATTACTCCATTAATTCCTCTGAATTACAGCCAGTTGAAACATTTCTGCAAAGTGAACAAAGGCAAGTGCTTCGAGACAATTTGTTCCTCTGGGTTTCAGAACAGATAACTATTGTTGTAGGGTTTTATCCAGTTTTTATTTATTTGATTATTTTAAAAAAAGTCCTCTTGAGTAAAACTAAACTGAGACAGCAGAGAACCCAGTAAGCAATAACAGGGGATAAATACATACTTTAAAAATTTCCAAGATGAAATATTATGAAGATTTCCATCTTTGGACTGAAGACAAATTTTTCTCAGAATTTTTGAACAAGTGGCAGCCCAGCTACATGTTGCTAGTGAATTTTATTATGATTAGCAAATGCCAGAGTTTGATCCAGTGTAATAAAGTAAGCATCACTCCACTGATGGGGCTTATTGCGTGCATCTGAGGCTGACTGCTCTCGGGAAGGCTTTGGTACTCTTTGTCTGCTTTCTGTAAAACAAAAGCCCCGGGATTAACTATCTACATAATGTATTGCACAGATACTAGCTTTAAAAAAAGAGCAGCCGTGGGGGCTGGAGCATGCTGCCGGCTGCTGCAGGATGGCGCTGAGCCCCCTCGGCGGGTCGGCGCTGGGGCTGCCGCGGGGCAGGAGCGGTGCGGGGGTCCCCGGCGGGTGGGCTGGCACCCAAAGCAGATGGCTCCACGCCCCCTCCTTCCTACAGCAGGGAGCCGGTTCCTGGCAGAGGCTACGGGCTTTGGGCGCTGCTGTGGAGAGAAGTGAGTCTTACACTGCGGACTCAGAGCTGGCTCAGGTTAAATCCCCATTAAGACCAGTGGGAGACTGGAGCAGAAGGGCTCAGAGGGCCCTGAGGGTTAACCCGTAAGAGTAACGTGAATAAAAACCTCATTTTAAAATCTGCACTAGAAAACCACACAGTGTTCCATTTTCCAGTACCATACTGACCTAAAGCTTTTGAGAAGTAGAGTAGTTGTTGAGGAATGAACTAAATAATGCATAAACAGTTATTTTAAAAATAAAATGTCTTTATTTGGTGTTTGTACTGAGTCTGAATGTACGTATGAATTCCCCAGTGGAAGAGCACTGTGCCCGATTCTCCACTTGCACCTTAGTGCCAAACCAGTGGATCAAATCTGGAAACAAGCTATTGTTTTCCTTGCGTGGTGGGCTGCTTGACCTGGAACAAGTCCCTGTGGTGCCGTGTTGTCTGGTCCTGAGAAGGTGTAAAGATGTGCTTTCTATCTGTGTGTTCCAGAAATCGAGAACTCCACCGAGAGAGTGCACCAGATCCAGCAAATCATCGTCACTCTGCCTCGGGCTGTCATCGTCGTCATGAGATATCTTTTTGCTTTCCTTAATCAGTAAGTCTTTTTTTTTCCTCTTTCACCAAGTTTCTCCTTGCCCTCCTTTTTTCAGGGCTTCCCTGTCTTTGTTGCATGAGTCCTTTTCGGTATTGCCATGGACAGTTGTATTTTGCTCCCTCCTCAGCCTTGCCTGGCCGTGGCTGGGTCTTCAGGCAAGATGCACAGCACAGTGACGATTGCTTTCTTGGGCGGTGGGGGTCGGTTGGTGGGAGGCTTTTCTGAGTGAAGGGGGAAAGTCGGCACCACGGCTCCCTAACGCTTGTGCTTGCAGCTTGTCGCAGTACAGCGATGAGAACATGATGGATCCCTACAACCTGGCCATCTGCTTCGGGCCCACGCTGATGCACATTCCAGATGGGCAGGATCCGGTGTCCTGCCAAGCCCACGTCAATGAGGTCATCAAGACCATCATCATTAACCATGAGGGCATCTTCCCCAGCCACAGAGAGCTGGAAGGACCTGTCTACGAGAAGTGCATGACTGGAGGGGAGGAGTACTGGTAAGCAGCGGGGCAGGACTTCATTGGTTGCAGAACCTACCTCTGGATCCCCGTGTAGGGTCGTCTTCTGGCTCTGTACGTTTGGAGTGAACCTGGGAGAAGGCGCAGAGCTGTGGCTTGATGCCTGGTGGACAGAGCTGACCTCAGCTCAGACGAGTGTAGGAGAAGAGATCTCGGGCGCAGATCCCTGAGAGGGTGGGGAGTGAGAAGCGCTTTGGGGAAGCTCAGACGTAATATTCAGGGCAGCCGAGCACAGCACTGGGGTGAATTTGCCCCTCTGCAGAAGGGGCCTTTTTGCATTTATTTCTGTTAAATGTTATGAATTAGGTGTGCGAGTGATATATATTTGATATGCTTGTGCTGTTTTACCCTGGTTAAGAATCTTACTTCATATCAGGCTGTCTGCATGGTTCTTAGTCTTAAATACCTTCATAAAACTACGACGATTCTGCACATCTAACCAATTAGTCTCGACGTCAGTTTTGCTTTTCATTTTAGCCTGTCTGGTGAAAACAGAGGCAGTTTCACTGAGTTTTTCTTTCCATATTTCTCATGCTGACTCAGCTTTATAAACCTCAGTAAAATCTCAGAAAATTGTTTCCAATATGAGTATTAATATTTATAAAAAAATCTTTTAGCTGCAGATTCACATAAGTATGTTCAGAGCAAACCAGAAATTTAGGTCAACTCTAACCAAATTCCTCCTAGGCTGAAACTTTTGAGTGAAGTCCCATAGTTCCATCGTAGTTTGCTAGTTGGATAAAATTCCATAGCCCAAAGTTAACCTGAACCTTCCAGTTCCCTTTGCTTTGTCGTGTTAGAAGACAGATGAGTTTGCGTTAGCCAGGGACGGGATCAGCCGTGTGCGATTGCATTGTATCACATCTTTCTGGTGCACAACTCGCCCTTCTTGATATATACCCCGGGCAGGAAAACTCCATAAACAAACTCCCACATTAGAAGTGTATTTGTCTGGAGGATGCTGGAATTGTAAACTGACATTCAGATCTGAGTTTTAAGAAACGATTTTTGCAAGTTTTACACATTTCTGAGACCTAATCTTCCCGGACACTGGTGACCTGCCACCATCCTTACTGATGCAAGCAGAGGATAAAATGCTAAAACTCATTGTGAATGAGTGTGTGGAACATTTTAATGTGGTATCACTTTCTATTTGTTTTGCCAAATACGAGTAAGGTACATGAGCAACAGAACGTGATGTTCTGGGCCTGAAGATGATGGTGTGAGTGTCTGCTGTTCTCAAAGCAGGTTCAGAGATCTGCTGTGATTTAAAATTACCATCTCAGTCCTACAAAAACTAAACCCATAACTCTTTCAAGTGTCACTGGGGCCACAATTTCGCTCAACAACTTACTTTTGCTAAGTGCCTTGGGAACAGAATCTCATTCTTTCTTTGAAAGCACGCTGTATTTTATTTCAGTGACAGCCCGCACAGCGAGCCAGGCACCATCGATGAAGTTGACCATGACAACGGCACGGAGCCACACACCAGTGATGAAGGTGAGCGGACACGAGCAGCAGAAAATCTGTGTCAGAAGAGCCGTGCCTGCAGGAAAGCAGTGTGCACTGCGCTCCTCATCAGATTAGAGGCTGGACTAGTGTCTGGTGCTTTAGTCAGGGACAGCGTTTTTGTGTGCTTAGTAATAAGCATGTGTATTAATAAATATTGTATATAGATTTTCCCCATAGGATGTCCACGGACCTTCGCGGTGGTCTGACTCCATGGCAGGATACAGGGGTTGTTATTTTGGAGCTGTTCTGTGAGATTCCATTAATCCCATATATGACATTTTTTTCCTTCTCCTTGTCATCTGTGCTTACCCGCAGCCATGCGACGATGAGGATGTGCTGTGTGAAATGGCTCACAAAAGCAAGAGGGGAGACATGGGTGAGAGGGGAGGGACCGGCTCTGGTCACTTGGGGCCCTTGGATGCATTGCGGGGAAAGCAGTAAATGTCCGTCGCCCCGTTGGGGGCCCTCTAAAGTGTGAGGGTCTTCTGGCTGGTTTCATTATGCTGTGGATCATCCCCTGTTGAGCAGCCGTCTCCTTGGCAGAAACGAAATGCCGTTGTATTTGAGCGAGCTGCAGCCTGGTTTTCCTGCTGCTGACGGCCCGTGGGGCCGGCCGGCTCCGGAGGGCGAAGCAGGAGGTGCCGCCGGGTGTGAATCCCTCGCAACTGGGTGCGTCATCGGTGTTTCCTAACGCGCTGGAGGAGGCTCAGGTCCGGGTTCCTGCAAGCTCGTGTCTGCCTGCACTTCCGTGTAAACTGTCTCGCAGTGTCACGTACGGGCTCTCAGTAAAAGCTGTGAAGCGCAGGGCAGTCACAAAGGCGAGTGTGGAAATGGGGGCGCTGGCAGCGCTGGGCAAGAAGCGTGTTCGCTTCAGGACGCAGTACCAACGCGGGAGGGAGCGCTGGGCGTCCGTGCCCCGGAGGCACCGGCAGCGCGGCCGTGGGAGGAGACCCTGCTGGCACTGGCACTGCGGGGGGGCGGCGGACGCGCAG